CATGTTTGCCATGTACCTCACGCTCGTGTCGGAGCAAACCGCCTGAATATGTGAAACCGGGAAGGTTCTCGCATCCGTCTGCAGGGCATCGATAAGGTCGCTCATGCTTGTCCATGTGCTTACTGTAGAATGATTAGCATAGTTCTAGGGCGGCAATGTTGGGATAACTTACTTCCATTCGCACTTGCGCGAAAATATCCGAATCTCCTCTTTGCAGTCGTCTTGCGTGCAGTGATATTTGCCGTCCGCGCCCTTGACAACATCTCTCTCAGGTTTTGGAATGGGCTTGATCCGAGAAGAGGGAGGAGAACCGATGCTTGGAGAGAGGTCCTTCTCGTCGGGAAGAGGATCGAGTGTAGGTGCTTGCATGGCAGCCTCGATTGGAGAAGGGAATGTGGGATGCCCCAAGTCGAGTCGAGTCGCTTCTTGAACAGCAGCAGCATCCTCTGGCATCATCCCTCGGTCATCTCCAAGAACGCTTGTAGGATCCGGAAGCATTGCCGCCTCTGTCGTGTAATGGCTCAGTTGTTCGGCTACATCGTTGTCGGTGAATCGCTGGTCTGTATGATCGTGGTCGTCACCGATGGGCGGATAGCCGCCATCATGGATGAAGCTTCGGGGTTCGTATGCGACACTCATGGTGCCTGTGAATAGCTTATATCGCTTTAAGGCTGTTTGAGGTGGCGCAGAAATCGCGGTCGTTGGAGGTTGAAAATGACGGTCGCGTGAATTAAAGTAGTGTTCACGGTCGGGGGCGAGACTGACGATATATAGGGAGTATCTCGGTTCGGGTTGAAAGGCAGAAGCCGAGCGTAATGGCAGGTCGTTATGCCGATGAGTGCTTGGCCGTGTTGGTGATGGTGGATGAAGCTCAAAGGTTGGAGGCCTGAAAAATCTGGCTGTGAGAACCGGAAGGCTACGGAAGAATGGGTGGAGCTGAGTCAAGGAAATGGCTGACAATAGTGGATTAGTCAATACATGCACGTGACACCGCGTATACGTGGCTTAGCAAAAGCAAGTATTGTGGCGCCGACTGTTCCGAATCCTCAAATATTAGAGTCATTGCGAAGGCGACTCTATTAGTATTTGACTGGGCTCCAGGCAGACAACAGGTGACTCGATAAGGCAAGTCCCATAGTAAGTCCTTGGGCTTGGTTCGGAAGCGTGTGAATCGTGACTCACGACCGTGCCTCCTTAGTGGCGGCGCATTATGGAGGCGTGGGGAAGTGTACAAGGCTTCGACGCGAATATGTACTAACAACACAGAAGTACAGCTTCGCATGTGCTGCTTCGATAATGGGATTCGTTGCCTTGCCTGATCTTCACTCAAAGACGGCGTACAGTTGGATATAAGGCTGTACGAGCCACACCTAAAGGTAGGCTGAAGATGCATTCCGAAGGGATCTCGTGACCTTATTCACGGTCTCTGCAGTCAAGTTAACCCTGCCTATTGGAGGCATCCGGTCATCCGTCAGGATCTTGCTCATGTCCAAATCGGTGACGTGCACTCTTGAATATGAGTTGTCCGACCCTAGTTCCCAAGGACTCGAGGTTGCGTCACATTGTGATGCAGCAACAAGTCTTTGACACTTCCGGCCATGGACCTTTGTTTCCAAATAGTGCTTATTGGACATAAGGTAACCAGACTGGTCAAGGAAACTTCCTGAAGCGGGCGAAGCACACGATGACTGGTCGGCCTCGCCAAGGGTCGTTTCTCGCGGGTGCCTGACTCATCGTATCAGGTTGTGTGGTACTTTGGTGTTGAGGCACCAAGACCTTATTTCTCAGGTGGCAAGAGTTAGAAATCAGATAGACAACTTTGCCATACACAGAGCTAGGCCAAAATGGAATGAATGTGTCGATGCCAAAGACCACTAAGCCTCGGACGCGACATGTCGCGATAGGATTGCAAGGCGATGGCCCGAAGCAAGGTTCGTTTGCAACTATTCTGCAACTATCAGTTTATTGCAACCCGCAGTCGTGCTTGCGTAAGTATCAGAACCAGCATGTGAGTGGCACAAGCAGATGACGATGGTGGTGACGACGATGGTTCTGGATGAGGCATTGGCGAGATCCGCAGAGCTCAAAGATCTCGCTAAGAAAGTCAGTTAGTGACGACGAATGGGCGAACGTGGTGCCATTTCAGCATCAATTAACCCGTATATGATAATTCGGGAGATGTTCAAATGGTGGTAGTGAGCTGACACGTTGAGAAAGTGAGGAAGGGGGGAAAACCAAGACTTGGAGATTCGGAGACGATTTGTTGTTTTGGGGGAATGAACGAACGGAAGGGTTGTAAGGCATTTGTGCATTTACACCAGAAATATGAGGTTGAACTTCTGGTTCAACGATACAACCTGACAAGGGCCAACCCCAAAGCAGCTAATGCTTGGCTTGGACAAGAGCCACACGAATTATGTGAGCCATTATTGGCCTGTCATAGACGATCGAAGCTGTTTCTAAGAACCTTGATTGCTTTGAGCCTATTAAAAGGATCGAAGCCGGATCTTTTGACTTTCATCCTTCTTTTATCGATCGTGAACCAGGTGTAGGCAGGCAGACGATCCAGCAGCAAAAAACCGACACCGCTACCCGACTTTGGGTAAGTGAGAATGAATGACCCTGAAGAATAAAACATACTTTAATTGATTCTTATCCTAGAGTGCCTAGGTGAGTATCAGCTCATAGTTGTCTTACCTAAAGTTAGGTAGATTTCTTATGTATTTGCTGATCCGTCCAGCAAATAGAGTAGGCTACCGATTGACCACACAATCAATCATAGGGAAATGTTCAAACGTTCCCGGTTCAAAGGCAATTTGGCCGTACAACTACCAAACCGGAATGTCGCATTCTGTTCAGTAATCACACCGTTTGTTCTTACGTTTTTATCTCTTCGAGCTGAGGTTTTCCCCGCGCTGAAATGTCAGGTCCATCAAAAGCCATTGGCTCAATTATCACAAACAGCGCCTCTAAATGAAGTGGCTTGCCGCACTTTTTGCAATTCACGATGACCAGTGAATTTCCTGAGGTATCGCGTGAAGAACTTGTTCAAATGTTCCATGTCTTGAGTTGATCTTTAATGAAAGGTTGCGCCGCAACACATAAAACTATTGGTTTCTAGTGTAAGCCGCTCAAAATTCACGGTTCTGGTTCACCACTACTTGAGCAAGTGAGTTGGTTGAAGGCATATAAGAAGTCAGTAACTTGCACTTGTCGTTGAGTGCTTATTTATACACTCCCAAGTTCATTCATTGCGTTGAAATCCAATTGCACCCTCACAACCCGCACATCATGTCTTTGGGCAAAATCACCACCTGTCTTTGGTTTGACAACCAAGCTGAAGAGGCAGCAAACCACTATACTTCCATCTTTGCCCCCAATTCCAAGATCACCTCTATCCAACGCTACACCCCCGCTGGCCAAGAACAGCATGGCCAAGAACCTGGGAAAGTCATGGTCGTCGAGTTCGAAATCCGAGGCCACTCTTTCGTCGCCCTCAACGGCGGTCCAGCCAAGTGGAAGTTCAGCGAAGCCATCTCTCTGATGATTGACTGCAAGGATCAGGACGAGGTTGACCATTTCTGGGAGAAGCTTAGTGAAGGCGGCGATACATCTCGCCAGCAGTGTGGATGGCTAGCCGACAAGTTTGGTGTTGCCTGGCAGGTTGTGCCTACGGCACTTAAGGGGATGTTGGGGTCTAAAGATAAGGCTGCAGCGGGCAGGGCCACGAAGGCCATGATGCAGATGAAGAAGTTCGATATCGCGGAGCTGGAAAAAGCGTTCAAGGGTTGATGCGAAACCCACAAACTCACTTACCTAAAAGCATGTCAAGTTGTCTACATCTTGTATCTAGTATCCAAACATGTTTCGTTTCCACGCTGCAAGCATGACTTGCAAGCTCTGATACACTGCTCTTTTACAAGTTGTCTTTGACTGGCAAACTGCTTTTGCAAACTGCCTTAGGGTCGAATTACATGGCAATTACTTTCCCCTATTTGTACAACTTTTTCTCTATATATATGAGCACTCGACTCTACCCGTGCCCTCGCTTTCTCTCCTTGTTAACTGTCACTTTTGACTCTAAGTATATATCGCCATAGGCAATGTCTCTGCCAAAACCAATTTGCTCCACTCTAGCCTTTTATTATAAGCTTTCACCTGCAACACGGAGCCGTAACGAGAGTGACGGCTATATATTCTCGTGGTATAAACGATCGTATAATACTAAACAGTGCAACCCATAACACAGACATTTTGCAACACCTCACAAGTCTGCAAACCAAAGGAGTAGCCAACCATCGAATGCCAGCATGATTCTGTGCTTCGATCGGACGGTTTTCTCAAGGAGAACCTCGATGGCGTAATTCCCTATATAAACATAGAGTTGCCGTCTCTATACAGGAGCGAGGCAGCATTTTTGGGAACGCCATGCGATAGTTGTAGAAATAGAAATGGCACATCTGATTCACATGTCTGAGTTGAGGGCACGGAGTCGGGAAAATGTGCCAACTGTATCTTCCGAAAAGATGTTTACAGTATGGGCAACGGTATGTCACCTTGTCAGGACTGGCTACTAATACTCCTGGTTAATGTTCTTACACTAACCATTTTTACAGACCCATCTAGACATTACGACAAGGCCCCAGGATATAAAAACAGACAGCGATTTGTACAACGACCACGACAATGCCTGGGCTTTGAGATGTCTCAGTCTTATGCCTGGCGTTTATATGCCCGGTCTTCGAGCTGCATACACGAATTACGGACTCTGATCTACAATGCACTTTTACTCCGCTATATTCTGTAATATTACTTGGCTGCAAAAAAAGGTCGCAACTCTCAAATTTCTATTAGAGTATTTTTGGCTTTATCTTTAAGTTTCTACACCCCACTAAACAACAACACTTAATACCCCTAAACAAGCTCTTACGATAGTTATTTGACTTGTTTAAGAGGACATTAAGATATATGAGGCAAAAGATTAAACAAAATAGAAGACATACGGGCGACGGGGTTCGAACCCGCGCACTATAATAGTAGCAGAATCCTCAGCATGAAAGCTTAAGTCTGCCGCCTTAACCACTCGGCCACACCCGTGTACAAGGTGCAAATCGCTACGATGATATGAACATAAACCGTGTCTTGATCGCCTTGCTTGTTATGACTCGATGTGTAACATTCACTCATCATAGCCGGCTTATAAATTCCAAGAATAATGGCCTCTATACTTCCTATAGCGCATGTTTTATATACTGTCGCTTTGATTCCTCTGGGCAGCTCTATCATGCACAGTCCAATGACTATAAAACGGAGCCGAGACTCGGATGCTGCGCCGAAGCTTCCTCAAGACTCAAGGCTGAAGGATAAGTGAGACCCAGCCAACAAGCCGAAAAGAGTCGTTGATCCTGTGCGAGATATTACGTTTCCTTAGATTATATCGTTGTGTCAGTCTTTCTCATATTCCGAATACCGGCGGCCACACTCGGTAGATTGCCGAGTAAACTCCTATACTCGCAGTCTCCGATGACACGGTCAGTAGTACCGAGGCGGCTCTGGTCGGACCGTAGATGATATATCCGCGGTATTGGATTTCTACAGTACGATATATGCATCCACTTAGATCATAGTTCATCTTGTCCTGGACGGTTTATTCCGCTCCTTTGGTATCTGCAAAACATGATTTCCCTCAATTGATCGTTACAGAATCATAAACTAGCTTCAGGTCTTGCTCTCATCAACTCGGAGCCAGCAAAACTCAGCCGATCACGTTGCCCAGTGCTTCCTCACAAGGAGAAGGGTTCCAATTGTTAATTAAGTTAGCTCTCGAGTAGCCGCATCTAGTGGCTCCATTTAGAGCTTCCCCAATCCGCTAGAGCTATCCCCAAAAGTGAATCTGCAAGTTACTGGTTCGGTTTTAGCGGCCTAGATCGGCTCACAAACATCCCATGTCCTATCCAATAATTGACCCTCAACTTTTTTCCAATAAATCCCCTCCACCCTCTTTATTTCTTCTTCCCCCCAACATCAAAGTTTTCTCATCTATCTTTCTCATATTCTTATCATAGTAGCCCTCTCGACTAGCATTGCCTCTCTTTCTATTCAACCAATCCGCTGTTACTCTTATCAGCTGCTACTCAATCATCGCCTGCAAAGGACTTATAGCACGCTCCTCCATTGCTCTCAAGTCCCGAGCATGGCAGAGTCAGCCCCCAGCTCGCTCGCCAGTGGTGGCCAGCATGAGGATCAAGCGTCCAAGCCTCGCCTTGCCTCTACCGGTTTGGAGAATCAGGAAGAGGGAAATGCCCGAGAGGGTGATTATGATGTCGAGACGGTTGAGCGTATCTACAGGTTTGTCACTACAACTCTGCTTATATCGACATGTAGCTTACCAATTGATTTACAGAAAGATTGATCGCCGTATCATTCCTGCTTTCTGGGTCCTGTATTTCCTCACCTCGGCCATCAAGTCCAACATCGGAATTGCTCAGACCATGAACAAGGACAAGGGACATGATCTCATGACTGTCCTTGGAATGACTCCAAAGGATGTTTCGACTGCTTTAGCTCTTTTCTACGTTTCCTACGTCATTTTTGATTGTCCCTCCAACCTCGTCATGAGCAAGCTTAGCCCCCGTCTTTGGATGGCCCGTATTGTCTTTGCAACAAGCGTTATTGGCACATGTTTTGCTGCTGTCAACGATCCCTGGAGTGTTAAGCTCTTGCGATTCCTGCTTGGCTTGGTCATTGCTGGCTTGTGGCCTGGACTGACTTTCTATCTCACCCTCTTCTACCCCCCTTCACGTATTGGCCAGCGAATCGGCTACTACTTTACCGCCTCTCAGGTATCTGCCGCTGTCGTTGGTCTCGTGTCTGCGGGCTTCCAGCTCATGGATGGTGAAAGGGGCATCGTGGGCTTTCGTTGGATGTTTATGGTCTATGGCCTTATCGGTGTCGTTCTGAGCATAATCCTTCTGTGGTGGCTTCCTGATCGCCCTCTTGTGCCTGGTCAGACTAGACCGAAGACAGGGCTGTTTAAATGGCTTCCCACTACCCCTGAAGTGCTTAAGGGACAGGATGCTATCATTCACTATCACGACTTGCGACGCGTCTACCACTCTCGTTCCTGGAACGTCAAGGACTTGGGCCTTGTCCTTATCGACTGGCGTCTTTGGCCATTGACTTTGATGTACTTTGGTGTTGTCGGAGTCGGTATCGGCACTCAGCTGTATGGGTCCGTTATCATCGCATCTATCCGTCCTGAAGCTAGCGGAGTTGAAGTTAGTCTTCTATTCGCGCCCATCTGGATTATGGATCTTATCGCTATTCTCATCGTCACACCCATCTCGGACCGCTTCCACCAGTCTCGCCCATACTTCTTCTCTGCTGCAGTCTGCATTCAGATCGCCGGTCTTCTCACCACTACTCTGGCGACCAACAACGGCTGGGCACGATACGGAGGCCTTCTCATGGTTGGCTTCGGTCTTGGCCCTACTGTCCCGATCTGTATGACTTGGAGCTCCGAGATCTTCCAGAAGCGCCACGGTGAAGTTGGAGTTGCCGCTGCTACTGCTCTCGTCTCCGGTCTCGGTAACTTGGGCAGCGTTTTGACAACCTATGCTCTTTACACGGGTTGGCCCGAAGACGCCGCCCCTGGTCCCCATCAGTACCGCAAGAGTAACTATACCATGATTGGAATCCTGTGCATGAGCATCCTGAGTTCCTTTGCCATGAAGGCTCTTCTCACGGTCTTCGGCAACCCACCTAGCAGCAAGCTTCAGTCCGACTCAGCCAGCGAGTTTGAGGACGGCGCAGCCCGACGAGAGCGCCAGGAGCGCGGGTTTGGATCTCTTCCTTGGAAGAAATCGAACCGTGCATAATTCTAAGACTTCTTGGATTTGCTCGCCCGGGCTGCATCTTCAACAATCACCTGGTTGACAAGTCCTCACATAAAGTGGCTATCGGTAGCCCAACCTGCCTCTTCAGCTGCTTGTATTAAACATGGCAACTCACTTATCGAGTACGCCTTGACGGCATTCATTTCTTACTTTAACCTGGCGAGGGTCCATCGCTAGGCTTTCGAGGCGCCGCCGTATTCTCAATCCGATGTATCCGCCACCACTGCGACGGCCTCGACAGCGATATATGCTTTCGGAAGACCCCTGACTTTGCGAAGAGTTCTATGACAATGCTTCAGCGCTATCACCTTACTCGGCTCGCCCGGTCAGACCCTCCCAAGCATTCACACCCTTGCCAGGAATATTCTGTGTCTTTTTATTTTCGGCCTCGGCCTTGACATCGTTATGCCTTTGTTTTGCTCCTTTTTATGATACCCCATCAGCGTTTGTACACGCTGTCCTACGAGTTTCCTTTTCCCTCGGCAGCGAAAGTGCTTCTACGCCATCGCTTTGCGGATAGTGTGTTGAACCAGAGCTCGTGGCGACAATGCTTATTACGCTATCGTTTGGCGGGCTCTGTGGGCGTTTTGTGTATTGCTTTTTGAAAGTGGAGGAGGATGGTATAGCTCAGATGAGTATGGTTTAGGGAGATTATTAACATTTCGGTCGTTATTCCTTACTAGGATATAATATGAATAAGACACGTTGCTCTCCCGATCTCGAGTTTCAAGATGTGAATGAACGGAAGCTATGGTATTACGAAGGATGAACAAGCTCGCACTACCACGTCTATCGCAATCTCTTCTCATCCTTTGAGTATGGATGCTCTGTAGTCTTTATCCTTACGTAGGCCTTGTCGATGGGAGATAACATGCACAATTGTTTTTAGAGTGACTATCGATTCTTACTTGCATGATTCACTAGCAAAAGACGGGAATAGTGCACAGAAAAGGCGTTCGGTATTCTCTCTAATCCAGAGGTGGTACATTGTTACACACCTGTGGGTAAAATTCGTATGCACATGAAGAACAAAAGGAACGCAAATGCAACTCCAAATCTCAAATTTCTCATTCCTCTGCAAGCCATCACTTCCCTCAAAACACTCTGGTCACAGACCGAAGCGTGGCTGAGGGAGTAATGGCCGCTACCCTTGATAACTCCTCCCCATCCTATGATTTCTATCCTGAATTGTTTTTATCCCAAGTTTGCCCGGGGGTCTGAAATGTAATGAAATATGGCTGGCTAAGTAATTTACCAGGCGAGGCCGAGCATGCGGCGGAAGCGCTGAGGAGCAGGCTCGGCGCTCTGAAGACGAGCGGCCTCGACAGTAGCGGTCACGTACACCGTCTCAGGGGTACGGACGGGAGTAGTAGCCAAAGTTGTAGGGGCAGGGCAAGCAGTGACAACAGAGGTGACAATGTTGGCGGTCTGGCCTCCGGCGCCACAGGGGACAGTGACAGTCTCAGTGACCTGGTTGGTGACGGTCTCGACGCCAACAGAGACGGTGTCCTTGCCGACAGTGACGGTCTCGGTGACCTTGTTGGTGACGGTCTTGGTAACAGTCTTGTCACCAACGGGGAGAGTGGTGTCCTGACCGATAGCAGACTCAGAGGTCTCAGCGGGAGCCTCGGCAGTGGTGGCATCGCCTCCGTTGGGGGGAGGGTAAGCACCAGTGCCAGTGGGAACACCATTGGTAAGGGTAACAGCAGTGGTGCTAACCTCACCGTCAGACTTGGTCATGGTGATGATAACAACTCCTGTGGCGGTTCCAGTAACGGTCTCGCCAGCTTCGGTGGTCTCACCGCCCAGAGCGCTGGAAACTTCAGTCTCGCCGGCAGCAGTGGTCTCAGCCGCAGCCGTGGTGTCGACAACGGCCTCGGTGGTGGGGACAGCATCAGCAGAAGACTCGGCCTCGGTCTCCTCAGGTCCGGAGGGAACAGAGCCAGTGCCAGTGGGAACGCCGTTGGTGAGAGTAAGAGCGGTGGTGCTGACCTCACCATTGGACTTGGTCAGGGTGACAATGGTGACAGCCTCAGAGCTCTCAACAGCGCCGGTCTCACTACCAGTAGCAGCCTCGGTCTCAGTGGGCTCAGCAGCCTCAGTGGTCTCACCAGCCAGGGCGCTGGAGACGTTGGTCTCAGCGGCACCAGTCTCAGTGGTCTGGGCACCGGTCTCGGTAGGGCCCTCAACGACGGGAGTACC